CAGCTACGTGGGAGTCCAGTGACATAACCACTACACTACCTGCTGGCCACAAACCTTGAGTCTTCTGTCTGGGTATTCTGTAATTCTGTGACTCCTGGGGAATGAGTGAGACAGAGAAAGGGCCCTGGAGTCAAGGTTATAGATTTTAATAGCGACAGAAATCTGTCCAATGCAAAGTTACCTGTGTATTACTGTGTCCTTGGTTCTAGAAAGATGAGCTTGCCGTGTATCTCATTTTGTTCTTTTTTTTTTTTTTTTTAAGAGTTATTTATTTATTTACTTTAATTTGACCAGAAACGGACAGAGAAAGAGAGAGAATGTGAGAAAGTGAGAAAGCAAACCTCTAGGTCTGCGACTCAAACCCTTGTCAACCTTGTGGAAGTCCAGCGCCCTTACCCACCACGCCACCTGTCGGCCCCCTCAAGTTTTGTTCTTAACACTCCTGATATTCTGACAACTCTGCAACTGTCTGGTACTCTGATTTCTTAATCCTCAGAGAGGGAAGGCAAGGAAGCTTTGTTTCACCTGGCACAAGTAAGGACAGAGGCTTCTTAGGTGAGCCTGAGGCAGCCCTTATGTGTCAAGTCAAAGAAGATATTATAGATGCATTTGTGTTGACTTCTGTCATTTACATACTATGTTAGGGTTTTTTTTTTTTTTTTTTTTTTTGCCACAGGAGAACTCTATTCTCAACCACCCTGGGAAGATTCCATGAGAAGGCATTCTTTTAGTTACATGAATCATTAAAGTAGATTTTGGATCTCTCTCCAGAAATAGGTCACTGCTCTTAGTTGTTTCCTCTGATTAATTGAAACTGAACTTAGGCTGTTCAGCGATTGAGGCAGAAAGTTTCAAGATGGTCCCTTGCAGTCCTTTGGAAATATAACGTTAGGACTGGGATACTGCTATCTAAGGGCAGCAATCCCCGAGCACCTGTGGCCATGGTTTGTGTCAGTTCAGAGTGGCCATAGGTGCTCTGGGTCCATGGTTTGGACTTGGGCTAGGAGGCTTGGGCAGTAGGCAGTGTAGGGTGATGGGAGAACTGGTTGGAGATTAGCAGATGGACTTGGGTCTAATCCTGTCTCTTAGACTTACCATGGAACTTGAGACTTCTGGAGCTGCTTTGAAGCTTTAGAGTAAGCTTTAGAATTAACCCACAGTAGCTGAAAACATTAGACTATTGGGTGACATTACTTAGTGCTATCCCTTTTGAATGTTGGATATGTTTGTAAAAATAAGTTTTCATTTTTATGTAATTGATGATGAACTTTCTTTGTGGCTAAAACAGTTGAAAGTATGGGTTTGGGTGGCTTATTGACACTTAACATTTGAGATTTCATAAGCTTTGAATTTTATTTTGTCTATATTTCAATTTTTTTAGTTTTTTTGCCGTAGGATACATGTGCTCGCTGGAGAGAGGCAGAGAAAGACAGTGAGAAGGCAAGTGAGAAATCACCACATAGGGGATGGCTACACCATAGCCCCTCTTCCTCCATTCTCCTCTTGGGATTTTGGGCATGCGTGCACATGTGCCCTGTGTGATTTTCAAGTCACTGGGTCTAATTGTAGTTAGTTATGTGGGAGTCCAGCACATTAACCATCATGCCATCTGCTGGCCCCAAGATTTGGAATTTTTTTTAAGTTTATTTACTTTTTCCATGAATGAGAGAGAGCGAGCGAGCAAGATAGCACCTCTCACAGGATCTTGACACTGTGAGGTACCCCTAGCCTCACCATTGGCGCATGTATGCCTGGTATACTCAGGGAGGTCTCTGGATGAAAACCTGGACCCTTCCCATGGGGTCAGCCTTACAGAGTGTTGTGTTTTACTACTTGCCACTGTCTAGTCCCTGAATTTGTTTTGTTTTGTTTTTGCTAAAGGGTATGCTTCCTTGCCAGAGATAGAGGGAAAGGGAGAAATCACTACCTGACAGGGCATGATCACACTGCAGTCCCTCCATTTCTCTACCCTCTCAGGATCTGGGTCACTCATGCACACACCCAACATGTTTTTCAAGCCGCCAGGGCTGGAACTTGAACTGCACAGTTGACCATGTGGAATATAACTCCCTTAACCATTAGGCCATGGTGCTGGTACCCTAGATTTGGATTTTTTTTTTTTTAAGGTTTATTTTATTGTGTCGGGGGACAGGGAGAAACAGCACCACAATTTCCTTCCTCCAGCTTAGTTGGGATCTTGGGTGCCACACAAATATCTGGTGTGTTTTCAGCCACCCTGGGGATCTGAATGTACTGTTGGTCTTAGGATTTCAGCTACTGACTTTGCTACCACAGCTGGTCCTAGATTTGCATTTTTAAAGTTCCTATCTGTCTCCCTCCCACCCCTAGGTTAGCTAGAGTTGCACTATGGTGGCTTGAGAATGGTCTGTTTAGAATTCTGTAGCATTGCTTATCATTACTTTTGCTTACCAGTACCCTCAAAAGATAGGCAGGAGTGACAGGAATCCAGACCTTTTTTTAAAATACACACACACATACACACACACACACACACACACACACAATCCCTTCTTCTCCACTCTCCTCCTGGGATTTTGAAGCTGCTAGGTCCAGGACTCGAACCATAGCCAGGTATGTAGCACCCCAAGCCCAGCATCTTAACCAACTCGCCACCTGCTGGCCCATGGAACCCAGACCTTTGTTGTAACTCTTCCTAAGTCTTTGCTGAGCTGCCTGTGTAGAGAATAGGCTTCCTTTACCATAGTCTGTCATCTAATTGTTGGTGTTTTACCCTTTCAAGCTTAACTATATGTATCTTACTTGGTAGCTTCTTTCTGTATTGGGGGCACCTGTGACAAATAGTCATCTCTACTTTGTAATTACTAGGAGTAAAGGTCAGTAGGTAACTACTGATTTTCCATGGCAGTGGTTCCTGGACTTTGATGTGCATAAGCATCACCTGAAAAACTCGTTGAACCTTTTCTGTGCCTCACTCCCAGAGTTTCTGATTCAGTAGATTTGAGGTGGCACTCGTACCTTGCAATTCTGACGAGTTCCCGGGAGTTGCTGATACTGCTGGCTTGGAGACCACACTTAGCAGCACTGGTCTGCTATGAGCCAGGCTTTGTGTGATGAAGGGATTAGTGGGATCTAAGTCATGGTCTCTGATCCTGAAGAGCCTGCCTTTGATTTAGGATCTGAATGTGTACGAAAGCAGACCTGATTGTGAAGCTGTGCAGGCCAGGGGCCAAATGAGTCTTGGAGAAGTTCAGAGCAGGGAAAGGTCTCCAATAGCTGGGAAGCCAGGTATCTTTCACAGAGCTGTTGTGGTCAGGGGAATTGGACACTTGAGGAACAATTTGGAAAACACTTATAGGGAGATGGAAATGTCACAGGCAGTTTATAGCAAGTAGCTAGTCACTTTTTTTTGAGAGTTTTTTTTTTGCTATAAGATGTGTGCATTCGCCAGAAAGACAGAAAGCAAGAAATCACGCTCCAGGGTGGATGGCCACACTACAGTCCCTTCTCCTCCATTATCCTCTTGGGATCTTGGGAACACACTCACATGTGCCCTGCATGAGTTTAAGCCACTGGGTCTGGGACTCAAACCGCGGTCAGCTACATGGGAGTCCAGCAACATAACCATTACGCCAACTGCTGGTCCCAGTAGCTAGTCACTTCTAGTTGGTGGATATTGGATAGTAGAAATGAGAAATAAAGTTTAAAAAATATTGAACTTGGGCCAGCAGATGGCATGGTGGTTAAGATACTGGATTCCCACGTGGCTGACCATGGTTTGAGTCCCAGACGCTGTTTTTTGATAAATCACTCCAGGCATCTGTGTGTGCATGCTGAGAATCCTGAGAGGAAAATGGAGAAGGGACTGTAGTGTGGTCATCCCCCTGGGAGATGATTTTTCACTTTCTCTCTCTCTCTCCCTCCCTATGCGTTACAGTTTTGAGTACCAGGCTTTTGGACTTCATTTAGAAGAGGTGACCAGCAATTGACAGGCCCTATTTCTGTCTGGAGCAGAGGTGGGGCTAGGAAGAACATATATAAGAAAGAGTAAACCAGGAGAGCTTCCTTGTTGAATTTTTCTACTCCCAGCTACAGGGCTTTTTTTTCGCTTTTTGGGTGGAAGATGGAGAGGAGGGGGTGGAAAATTGGTCTCAATTATGTTTATGAGTGGTAAACCATTATGTAAATACCAGTGGTTCATGGTAATGTAACTTCTAAAAACATACTTTTTTCATAATGATCGTGTTCCTTCGTTTTGTTTTGAAAGTTTATTAATTCCGAGAAAGACAGATATGGGAAGAGATAGGACAGACACCTTCAGCAGGGTCTTTATCCGACAGTCCACTCCCAGCCAGCCTGGCGTGCACAGGAGGACCTCAGGATGTGAACCTGAGACTTCCCCGTGTGAGTCCAGCATTGTATAACATTGCGTTACTGCTGTATTGCCATGCAATGCTGCCCTATATTCCTTTTAAACTTTAAAAGATATTGATGCCCCATAGTCTAGAAAACAAAGATTAAATTATAAAAATTAATAATTTACCAAGGAATAAATACAAGGGGTCTTCAAAAAGTTAATAACATGTACATTATGAAAAAACTATGCATTGATTTCAAGAATTTTTGCACCAAAATAAACTTGCACTTTAATTCCATTTTTCCACAAACTTTTAAAGTCCCTTTGTAAGACTGCATTTTCCTCACATTCTTAATTATGTTACAGTTCCTTGTTCTTGACCTAAATTCAGTACAAATTTTAAAAATGTTCTTTCAATGAAACATCTTAAACATGAGTTATTTTTGATGGATTTTGAATTGTGTACATAAGAAGTATGGAATTTTGATAAGAACTGAAGGCAGAGATACTGTTATATTGGACATAAGTAAGACTGAATATGATTCTCAAACAATTTTTTAACCTCTAAAGTTTACTATACAGATGAAGCTCTTTTATGTTATATTTTGAAAAGTTACCACTTTCTTGAAACTATGAGTTAAAATCATATCTTCTTGAATTTTAGGTACTTACACTGTGAAATTTTATGATGGAGTAGTTCAGACTGTCAAACATATTCATGTCAAAGCTTTTTCCAAAGATCAGGTGAGAAATACGGTTTTGTGCTTTGTGTTTTGTGTAATGCTAACATTGTAGTTTTGTTTCTTGAATAAAGACATTACATTTGTTTATGATGGCAATTCTTTATTTTCTCTGACACAATTTCACCAGAAAGTAAGACACAAATTTTCAGAAGTTGTAAATATATCTCTCTTTCTGCCTTTTCCTTTAAACATAGATTTTCTTTTTCAAAAATTCCAGATACTTGGATATATTGGTGTTATCTGTTTATCTCATTTTTCCCAAAAAGTGTCTGGTTGTTATTTTTTATCCTTCTTTCTGTGCCCTGTTCCTAGAACTGTTACCCATTGTAGCGAGAACTTGTTGAAACACTTGAGACCCAGAACATGTTTTTTCCTCATCCGTTGGGTTGTTGGAAAAGTCATGATGTATTTTTTCTATAATTTTCTATGCAAAAATGCATCATGATTTTTCCAACAAGCCTAATAGGTTTCTTCTCCAGCTTAGGACCATGACTTGGTGTTTATAGAGCTTGATACGGATGTAGCAACCACTTACACTCGATGTGCCTGGTTTGAGAATTTGGTGACCTGTAGCCCCAGTCACCATGTGTGTACTTGCTTGAGCAAGGTACCTAAGTTTTGATGCTGGAAATACAATCTGCATACACACACACACACACACACACACACACATATGTGCATTTCTTTTTTTAAGAATTATTTTTTAATTTAATTTTATTTATTCATTTAATTTGACCACACACACACACACACACACACACAGAGAGAGAGAGAGAGAGAGAGAAAGGGAAAGTGAGAAAGCAAGCCACCAAGTCTGGGACTTAAACCATGGTTGGCTATGTGGGAATGTCCAGCGCCTTAACCACCATGCCACCTGCTGGTTCCCAATCTGCATAGATAGATGCCATCTAATTCATCATGATTTTTTTCCCTTTCTAGGTTTTTTTTTTGTGTGTGTGTGTTTATGTCTTAAAGAAATAGTTGAGAGGAAAGTTGAGACAAAATTTTGATGTTGATATTTTAAAAAATTTTTATTGTTACTAATTATAGATATTGAGATAGCTAAAGCAAGTTATAAAAGATTTTATCACTGAAGCATCATAATTGGCTACTCACCTCTTTGGATGGTGGTTGATTTGACATTGGTAATGCTGTAACCTATTGTGTTTTTTGCTGTGACGATCAGATGCTTCTACTTATAACATATTTTAATAAATTCTTCTACACATATATTTACCAATTTCAAAGGATCGTAATACATGATATCTTTACAATCATCCCCAAGCGTGTTTTGCCTTCTGCTGGCTTTCCCAGAAAATTGACAAAATTATACAGTTTTGGTCCCTGTGGTGCTTTCTCTTTGATCATTTACCTCTTAGGCATCTAAGGAGCCATACAACACTTCACAAGATTATTTTGGCCTTAAATTAAACATTTTTAATGTTAGGTTTGTGGAATGAGTTAATATAAACAGATCGAGTTATAAACGTGTCTAGAATTGACAGATTGTATCTAGAACCTTCCCAAATGGAAGTCTAGTACTCCAGATAACAAGTGTTTCACTACTTACTCTGCTTTACTCAGTAAAGTGAATGATAGCCCTAATGGTGCTTTGAGCTTAGAGGTGGGCGCCTTACCTGGTAAGGATTTGCAGGTGCTTCAGTTCTCAATTCCCAGTGGCCTTGGAATATCTCACTTTATCTCAGTCCTGGCAGGCAGTCAACACAGGCCTATAGTTTCTGGATTTGTTTTTGTTTTCAAAACGGTATGGTGCTTTGGCTAAAGAGATCTGTTGTGGACCGTTCTTCCAAGGTTATTTTTCATAGACTAGTAGAATAGATTGAGAATCTTTTTTCTTTTTTATTGTAGAACTTTACTGGGCCAGCAGATGGTATAGAGCTTAAGGCAGCTGGCTCTTCTGTGGCTGACTATGGGGTTTGAGTCCTGGACCCGGCGGCTTGAAAAACATGCTGGGCATGTGTTTGTGCCTAAAATCCCAAGAAGAGAATGGAGGAAAAGGGATCGTGGCATGGCCAACCCCCTGAGGGGTGCTTTCTCACTCTCCTTCTCTGTCTCCAGTGAGCACATGTGCCCTATAGCAAAGAAAAAAAAATAAAGAACAACAACAACAAACCTGTATTTCTCTAAATATTTTGATAATCTATATTTTACTAACATTTATTTTTTGAAGTTGTAGAGATATTATATGTTTGCTAAAGAAAATGTGAGTACAGAGAAGAGTATAAAGAAAACAAACTGTAATTCCATCATCCAGATATAATGGCTTTTAACATTTTGCCATATACCCTTCTATGTTTTTTGTTAAACATAAGTGTGTGTGTATGTGTATCTTTTCAAAATTCAAGTCATGGTATATCACTATACTTTAACTTGCTCTTTTTCAAAAAATAAAATTTTCCCAGGTCCCTTAATATTCTGAGAATATGGATTTTTAATGGCTATGCTATATTCTATAACGTAATATGTAACCGTACTTCGTATAACCAATTCCCAAATAGTAAGGACACTTGTAAGTCTGGGTATGCAAATGTGACTACTCTGTTAACAGTTGCCACTTCTGAACATTCATTCTGGTTCAGCTATACATTTTTAAGTCTTTTGCCTCAAATTGCTGACACTTCCTCTTTCAGAAGAGTGGCTGCAATTAGATATCTGCCAGAAGTTTCTGGGAGTGCCTGTTTTCAAAACTGGCTGTTTTCCAAATAATTTTTAAGACTTGGTAAAAATATTTAGTTTATTATTTTTCCATAGGGGACAAATTAAAATTTCACTTGCTGAGTATTTAGGTATTCCTTCCTGCTGTTGGCAGGAGTCTACATGCTCTGCTGTAATGGTTGTGTACTCTAAGATGCTGTGCCCTGCAGGCTGGGACCACAAGGGAGGCCTGGTTTGATCCCTGGTCCAACTTACAGACCAGGTGCAGTGGCATGCACCTGTAATCCTAGCAGCTCTGGAGGCTGAGGCCGGAGAATTGTGACACAGTGAAACCTGTCTTTTAAAAAATTTTTTTGGAGAGGTTTTTGCTGTAGGGTGCATGCGCTCACCAGAAAGAGAGACAGAAAGCGAGAAATCACCCCCCTAGGGGGGATGGCCACGCCACAATCCCTTCTCCTCCATTCTCCTCTCAGGATCTTGGACACACATGCCCACATGCACACACGCCCTGTGTGAGTTTAAGCCACTGGGTCTGGGACTCGAACTGTGGTCGACTATATGGGAGTCCTGCGACACAGCCATTACGCCAACTGCTGGTCCTGAAATCTGTCTTAAGAAAACAAGACAGAACAAAAGTTTGTATCTAGTATGTGTGTACTAGGTGGTAGGGATCCCATATGAACAGGATATGGTGATCTCTGTTCTCTTGAGATCTTAGACAAGAGATATATGAGGGTCCTTCAAAAATGCATGGAAAATGCACTTTATGTAAAAAGTATGAATGGATTTCAAAAATTTTCACACCAAAGATAAACTCATACTTTATTTTTTTACAAAGTGTCTTTTTTTTTTTTTTTTTTTTAATTTTGCGGTAGGGCACCTGCACTCACCGAAGAGAGACACAGAGAAAGAGAGAAAGAGAGAGAGCGGGAAAATGAGAAAGAACCCCCAGAGGGAATGGCCATGCTGCAGTATCTTCTCCTCTAGGGATTTTGGGCATTCATGCACATGTACCCTGCAAGCCTGTCAAGCCATTGGGTCCCGGACTTGAACCATGCAGTTTTGGCATGCAGTAGGCCATGTGGGATTTACCAAGCCACTGGCTAGCCCTCCACAAACTTTTTGAAGTACTTTCTTAAACACAAACTTAATTATAGTTTTGAAAGTTTCACAGCTTTCAAAACTGGCTTTATATGAGACAATCACACTTGAACACAAGATTTTTTTTCTTTACTTCTTTTATCAAGGTCTTGCCTTAGGGCACATGCCCTTGCTGCAGAGAGACAGACACAGTGAGAGGGAAAGTGAGAAATGACCCCCTTGGGGGGAAGGCCACGCTGCAATCCCGTCTCCTCCATTTTCCTCCCAGGATCTTGGACATGCACACTCATGTGCCTGGTGTGATTTTGAAGCCACCGAACTATGGTCAGCCTTGTGGGAGTCCAGTGACATAACTGCTACAGTGTCTGGTGGTCCCCAACACAAGATTTTTGGGATGAATTTTTTTCTTTAATTTTGCCAAAGGATTCATGGATTCACCAGAAAGAAACAGAAAGGCAAAAAGAGGGAGAGGGAGAAACACCGCCAATTCTCCTTAATTTCTCCGTCCTTTTGTATTTTGATCATGCACATATATGTGCCTGATGTGTTTTCAAGCTGCCAGGGCTGGGCTTTGAACTACACAGTTGGCCATGTGGGATGGCTCCCTTAACTACCAGGCCATTGGGATGAATTTTAAATAGGAATGGTTACTTTAGGAATAAAGTAACCAAGATACAGTACTTCTTTCCAGTGGACAAAATCTTAGAATAGTCAGGAACACAGTAAGCAGGTTATTGAACTGAGCATAACCTTTACTCTGTAGAGGAAGCAAAGACCCTTGTTGTGGGTTGGGCAATTTTTACAGTTTTTCTGTTCAGTCTTCAGTTACTAGTTTGGGCTTTTTTCTACACAGGCAGTCAGCATACACTGGAAAACTGAGCCATGTTTCTGAAAACCCTGGATCAATATCATGCACCTGGGGATAAGGATGGAGCATGAAAGCATTTTTTTAGAATACCTCTGTCAGAAAGATAGCTTTCCAGGAAAGATCCCTAGGGTAGTTGTATGTCCCTTTTATTATTTTCTTGTGACTTATTCATCACAATAAAGGAGATTAGTCCGTAGCAGAAGGACCTGAACGTGGCAGGTTTGTTTTAGTTTTGTCTTATTTTTAGTTTAGGATTGACTCTCAAACATCTCGATACAGGTGAATATTTTCAGTGATGCTTTACATTATGTAACCTTTGTCTTTATACGTTTGCAAAAAAAAAGCCTCCTAATTTTGTATTTGCAAGTAATCACAAAGTGTGTTTCATCGCTATTTTGCTCATTTTAGAATATTGTGGGTAATGCTAGGCCTAAAGAAACAGATCACAAAAGTCTTTCATCATCTCCTGTTAAACGAGAGAAGTTTAAAGAGCAGAGAAAAGCCACTGTCAGTTTGAAGAAGGACAAAGAGGACAAAGCCTTAAAGACAGAGAAACGACCCAAGCAGCCTGATAAAGAAGGAAAGCTAATCTGTTCTGAAAAGGGGAAGTTATCAGAGAAGAGCCTTCCCAAGAACGAGAAAGAAGACAAGGAGAACATTTCAGAAAATGACAGGGAGTATTCTGGAGATGCTCAAGTGGATAAGAAGCCTGAAAATGACATTGTGAAGAGTCCGCAAGAAAACTTGAGGGAGCCAAAAAGAAAACGAGGCAGACCCCCTTCCATAGCTCCTACTGGTGAGTTTCCCAAGTGGGCTCTGCAATGGGCAATGCCAGTGTTCTCCTGTGGCCCTTTGTGGCCCCTTGTCACTTCTGTGCTTCAATCCTTCGTTTTTGTGACTGCCTTGAATCGTCTTGTGATCCGAAAACAAGTCTTATCTGTAGAGCTGAATTTAAGTGAGGCATGTATCCAGATGAACTCAAGTGGCCTGAGCTTCTGGGGTAAATTACCTGTCCACTAGATGCTGCAGTTTATATAACAAAGCCTAATAAGCCAAGGCCTTTTTCTTGTGCCTGTTCACATGATCTTGGTTCATATAAGCTTCTTAGTACCTGGGATGAGGAAATATTGTATAGTTTTAATGAGACAGACATGAAAGAGGAAAGGAGAAGCAAAGATCTGTTGGTGTCTCAAGGAGATGGGGCCAAAGGGACACAAGCTAGGGAGGGGAGTGTACATTTTGAAATGAACTCTTTGGAGAGTGGTTATTGGTTAGAAGTTTTCACAGTCTAAATAAAAAACTGAGATGGCTAGTTGGTAAGGGTCAAGGTTAGAGGGCATAGATTGAGGGAAGAATGCACAGTTATTTAAAAAAAGGTTGAAATTTGCAATTCTTCCAGAATAACCAAGAATGAAACAAACTAATTCCTTCCTAAGCCAAACACTCATTCTCCAGATCGAGTCAGGGTCTGTAGACGGCACTCGCCCGTGATGAGGTGTGGCAGTGCTCTTTATTGTTGCTGACATTTTCCCTCCATGATTTTGAAACCTGTGAATTCCCTAGCAATTTTAAAGCAGTATCTTTTTCTGTTTTCCTCAGAAATTTAAGTATCTGCAGTGGATATATTCAAAGTATACAGTATGAATAAAATATATTTTTATCAAAATGGTGAAACAATATTTAATTATTTCATTGTTGCTTAACCATGGAGAATGCAAATTCAGTCCTTATCAAACCAGACTGTTATATCCGACTTAATTTTGTGGGGGAAAAGTTTATTTTAACTAATTTAAAGCAGATGAATTAATACCCACTCCCAATAGCCTTCTCACATCTGAGTTCTACTTTTAAGATATGAAATTAGAATATGAAATTAGAAAATAGATAAGATTTTTTCCCCAGATGAAGTAAAGGACCTTCCCCTTTAGTACTTAATAATTGGACTTTTGGCCTCAAGAGCTGAGCATGCTGGAATTGTCCCTACTCTGTCCTAGACCTGCTCTGTCCAGTATGGTAGCCACGAGCCATATGTGGCTACTGAGCACTTGAAGTGAGGCTAGTCTAAGTTGAGATGTACCATAAATGGAAAATAAACACTGGATTTCAAATACTTAGTACAAAAAAATATGTAAGATATATCATTAATGAAGTCTTAAATATTAATTACTTATTGAAATGTTTTTAGATGCATTGGATTAAATAAAATATATTTTTTAAATAAATTCTTCTTTTCTAACTTCTTAACATGACGACTTAAAATTTAAAATACTCATGCCTTGCGATTGTGGCTCTCACTGTATTTCTGTTGGACAGCATTGGCCTTAAGTTTGCTGGCTTTCTCAACAGGGTTCTGGGAGAGAATTAAGACTCAAAGCCCAAGGCATCCAGGGTCTGTGATGAATTGACCTCTGTGCATTGAGAATGGGTCTAGTTGTAATTTGCCTGTGGGAAAGTGGAGACAGTAACCTCTGTTCTGTATACCGAAGAGGAATCCTGTTGAGAGAGAGCCTGACGGTTGAATAGTTAGCCTATCGAATAGTTAGGTGGGATGAGTGAGCGGCAAGCAGTAAAGCAAAGTTGAGGTGGAAAATATGAATTGGCAGATATCAGACATATTCTTGGCTCAGTTTAGCAAAGAGTACATGTGAGCATTTCGTGTTTTGCAACTGATTTTCCTTTAGCTGTTCATGCTCTGGCCTGTGCCTTTTGCAAAGTGTATACTAAGGTAGTTGTACCCCTTTGCGTGTGTTCCTTGTGAAGCAACTTGATTTCACTAAGAAAAGGGATAGTTTGTTGCTTTTGTTTTATAAATAAATATATATATATATACATATATATATATATATAAAATATATATTTTCCAGATAGCATAAATTTAGTAGAGAAAGGCTGTTTTCCAAGTTTACTTTTAACCCCGACAGAGACACTTGTGAAAACAGAATCCAGCTATGTCTCAGATTTCCCAAAGCAGAACCTTTGGGTGGGAACCTAGGAATGTAAACTGTGAACAAACTTCCCAGATGACTTTTATTGTAAGAAGAGTTTAGGAAACACTTGAGTTCTGTATAGTCAACCCTCATTTGTGTATGGTATTAAAGGGGAGAAGGCTTGCTAGATATCCCATATACAGTTCAAGTTCCCTTTAAAAATTGCTCAGAATAATAAGTTCATTGACTTATTAGCTTCCTAGATTGTACAGACCTGGAGGAGAGCAGGACCAAATCTGTTTAGGAGAGTTATTTGTATCTGTTTAATTTGGAATGTGGAAAGTCTCCAAGTTCCACTACGTGGAACAAAATCCTATTTGCACATTGGAAAGATTGAATACATGAAAAGCCAAGGAGTTTACTTACTTATTTAAAAAATGTTCTAATGTGTACTACCAGAGAGACAGACAGAAAGGGGAAAGTGGCATCCCCAAGGATGGATGGTCACGCCTTAATCTCCTCCTCCTGGGATTTGGGCAAACATGCACATATGCCCTGCTAGTGTGCCCTGCTATTTTTCAAGCTGCAGAGTCTGGGACTTGAACCACTCATTCGGTCATGTGGAACCCAGCTGCCTTAACCACCATGCCACCTGGCTGGCCCAAGAGCTAAGGAGTTTAGCACTGTCATCAGTTGCCTTTTAGAGCTTATCGTATCTCTTGTTGGACCATTTGACATGACAGACCTGAAGCTTAGATTAATCTTTTCTCTCTCTCTCTTCCACTTCTTTCTCTCTTCCTTCTTCCCCTTCCATCTATTTTTCTTACTTCCTTGTCCTTTCCCCTTTCTCCTCTCTTCTCGTTTCATTTTTTCTCAAACCCCTTAGCCTTGCCTTCCTGCCAAGCTTCCCAATTGGTTTTCTTTCATTTTTCTTCTACCTGCCTTTTGGATTCTCATCTTTTCTGGTTGGAGAAGAGCTTCCTCAGTGTTAAGTTTTAAAATAGTGAATTACCCTTCAAGGGTTTGGCACCCTCAGTCCTAAGTTATGTCAGAGCTAGGTTTGCTAGAGATCAGAGGTTTGCCTGGATCATTGACTGTCAAATAGCATCATCTCCCATGTTTTTTCTGGGATTGTTTTTAGGAGAATATTAAATGTTGACATTATCTTTGGACTCTCAAAACTAGGACCAGTGCCAAGATAACTAGCTAAGCAAGTAGAGATTGAAAACAATAATCAAGCACTAGTCTCGGTACACGTTTTAGGAATCAGCCGGCCTGGTGGGTTTCCTAAGTATTGAATAGGTCAAGTTTTGATGAGAAGATCTGATGGTGATAAAAACGACTTTGCTGATGCCCTTGCACCTTCTTATTTTAAAGCAGTCATGTTGGGGTGTGTATTTAAAAAAGAGGATTTCAGAAGAAAAGCATATGACTAGAACTTGGTCATAGGAGAGACCAAAAATGAAATTCAGGAAGTTGATCTGCAAAGCATCAGTATCTCCCATAAAGAAGTAATTTCTCATCCATTTGACTTTTTATCTTTTACCTTATAAGTAAGAATGCTCTTTTGAGGGGCTCTTTACAATGCAAACAGCATTATATGTTTGCATATGTACATGTTTTGTTTATATGTAAAATTGAGAGCTTGGACACCAAGAAATTATGCATCTTTCTTTTGTGTGGTTCTATGTACCTCATAGCTGTGGATTCAAACTCTCAAACTTTGCAACCAATAACGTTGGAATTGAGAAGACGGAAAATATCAAAAGGAGGAAGTGAAGTCCCATTGAAACGTCCTCGGCTTGACAAAAGTTCATGTGAGTCTCCATTTTGTGTACATGTGGCTAGAATCTGACACTGTTTGGGTCTGGCTGTCTTATGTCCATCCTGTGCTCTGAATTCTAATGCTTGTCCTTGGTTGCTTGAGGTTATGTGAGTTGGATGTGGTTGGATCAGAAGTTTTTGCTAGAAGAAAAAGAAGTCCCGAAGTACAAACTGTATTAATGTTGGATTTAGTGGTATTTACTCCATATTCATAAATTGCATTTGATTTGGACTCCACTCAGAATTTAATGGCTTATGAAGAGGTGGAGTTCATATGCAGAGTGAAACTTTTAAAATGCTATTTATTGATTTTAAGACAAACAACAACAACAAAAAAATCCTTGTTTGGCACTGAATAAGATTTGTGATGGCTCTAAGTAAGGCTTTTATAGACCTTATTGACTTTGGAACTTAATACATAGACTTTTATATTGGGAAGCCCCAAAATAGAACTTAGTTGTCATGACTGGGACATGACATTTCAGACCATGAATCCTTAAAGAAGTGGGTCTTTACCCTTACATTAAATTGTAAACTATGAAAGGGCATTTCCTGTTATCACTGGCCTAACCTTCCAGAAGTCTCTCAGTAAAGCCATCATAGAGATAACCAGCCCAGAAATCTGTAGTAGCAGAGTTATTTCTTCTTGTTGATCTTGTGACTGTAATTCTCTTAATGGTTTATAGCCCAGGAAAAGTCAAAAAACTACTCAGAAAACACTGACAAAGATTTGTCGAGGAGACGGTCCTCCAGGCTATCCACTAATGGGACCCATGAGATCCTAGATTCTGGCTTGGTTGTATCAGGTTTGGTTCAGACGGGTGATACGGATCCTTTACAAGACACATCATCTGTTAGTACCAAGGAATCTGAAGGTGAGTTGGAGTCTGTTCTGGAAATGACTTGCCAACCTGACGCTTATGTAGTGAAAAGAAAATTATTGTGTACTGTCTTCTACATGTACAAGATGGTCTTGAAATCAAATTACTGAATGTGGTTCAGTATTTTAATAATACATTGGTCTTCACTGATGGTTCATTCTGTAGATAAACTTTCTGAATGCATTTGTGGTTGAAATTGTTTATAATGCCACTAAATGTTTGGTTGAAGAATTACTACTTGAAGAGCCATGCCTCTCTCTTTTTGTTAATGCTTTCAGCAGTTATTAGCAGTTCCCCCTTTCACTTGCACCTCTTTTTTTGAGATGCTCGCAGCCCCAGCTGTCTGTGCTGGAAATTTGTAAGTGCGTTCTGTGTTGTGAGATGAATGACTTTTTTTTTTTTTAATTATTATTTGTTTTAATTTTATTTATTTATTTTATTTTTGACCAGAGACAGAGAGGGAGAGAGCATGCATAAACTGCCAGGTCCAGGACTAGAACTGTGGCTGGTCATGTGGGAGCCCAGCACTTTAATCATTCTGCCACCTGCTGGCCCTTTTTCTAAAAAAAGTCCCTGGCTTTATTAGTCTGTTGTGGGACTTTTGGGTCCCAGATTATGTCTATGTATATGTTCTCCAAGGTTTTTTTTTTTTTTTTTTTTTTGTCAGTTGAAATCTCCTTTGGAAGCTGGCCCGGTTTCACCTGCAGTAACTTGCCACTCCTTTGGGGATGGTTTGGGGGCTGCAGGATTAGAACTGAACTGCAAGTCAATGGGAGAAAACACTATGAAAACGGAACCAGCTTCTCCCCTGGCTGAATTACAAGAGATTTCAACTGTGGAAGGTTCATATTTAAAGTTAACTTAATCCTCTTCTTGTATATACTTTTGCTTCTGCTTTGTGAACTAAAAGTGAACTTTTCTAGTGATTTTTTTCACTTTTACTAATAATCCCTTAATTTGATATTATACTCCTTTTGTTTATGATTTTAGTAATTTGTGTTCTAAAATCTCAAATAACTAGCCTTTTACGTCAGTGCTCTCTGTTGTTTGTCTTTTTAAAATGTCATTGATTTCTGTTTTGATCACTTTTTCTTCAAGATAGAGGATGTGCATGTGAGACAGTGATACACAGAGAAAGAGATATGTACACATTCTGCAGGTTCTGGTCATGCCACAATACCTTCCTCTAGTCTTCCTGCCGGTTGGATCTTGGGCATTGATATGTGTGCCCAGCATTCAGGCTAACCATACTGGGGTTTGAACTGTGTTCGCCATGTGGCCTCAGACTTCTCTTGAGCAGCATGTTACCACTGCTTCTCAGAACCAGTCCTGTTTAGATTGAATAGTTTTCTTGCTTAAGCTTTTTCTAATACCATAGGTCATTTATTTTATTTATTTTCTTAAATGTATTTTTTAATTTTATTGATCATTGATTTTTAGATCTTTCTTCCCTTACAATATAAGCATTAAGAGATACAAATTTCCCACTAAGCACTGCTTTAGATACAGCCTATAGATTTTGATACATTGTAATTTTATTTTTATTCAGTTCAAGTATCTTATGATTTATTTGTTGACCATGGGTTACTTAGACGGATATTGTTTGAGTTCCAAGTTTTTAGGGTTTCTATAGATACTTTAGATACCTATTGTTACTGATTTCTAATGTCATTTCATTGTGGTCAGAGAACATTGTCTGTGGGCTTTTGACTATTTTTTATATTTGTTGAGACTTATTTTATGACCCAGCATATAGTCTGTCTTGGTCTTTATTCTATGTACATTTGAAAAGAAAGTGTGTTCTACCATTGTTCTCTGTTTCAGATCTGCCAGGTCAAGGTCATAGATGCCATTTTTCTGATAAATTTATCCTTTTGTGGGGGGGGGGAGGGAGAGTGTTTTGGGGAGTTGGGAGGGTCCAGTTCTGTGCAGTACCAAGAGAAGGGTGTTAAAATTGCTAACTGTGATTGTGTATTTGTCTATTTCTCTCTTTTGTTCTGTCATTCTGAAGTTCTATTATTAGTTACATAAACACAATGAATGCCCCTTCCTTATAGATTGTCCCCTTCCTTTCCTTTCCTTTATTTTATTTTATTATTTGTCAAAGGGAGTGTTTGCCAAAGAGAGGGAGGGAGAAAACACCTCCTCAATACAGTGTGATCATGCTGCAATCACTTCTCCATTTCTCCAACCTGTTGTGATCTGGGGCACATATGCACATGTTCCTGGTGTGTTTTTCAGATTGCTGGAATCAGGATTTGAACTGTGGTCAGTCACGTGGGTCCTGTTCCCTTGGATACCAGGCCAACTCTTTTTGTTTTTTTGAGAGGTTTTTGCTATAGGGCACGTGCACTAGCCAAAAGACAGAGAGAGACAGAGAGACAGAAAGAGAGAAATCACCCCCTGGGAGGGTGGCCACACCACAATCCCATCTTCTCCATTCTCCTCTCGGGATCTTGGGCACGCACGCACATGTGCATGAGTTTAAGCCAGCACCCTTAACCACCCTGCCACTGCCAGCCCCAAGTTATACATCACTTTAACACTTATTTCCAGCTTTTTTTTTTCTGCTAATGATTACTTGATTGTGTTGTTGTGGAGAATTGGAACCTTTCTGTTGACCGGTGCTGGCTGCAGGGTCCAGGACTCGAACTGTGGTCAACTACATGAGAGTCCAGCGACATAACCATTACACCAACTGCTGATCCCCAGGCCAATTCTTAGATATATTTTTATACATTTGTTTATACTCTATTATAAATGGGATCTTTAAAAAGCTTATGGAAATTTGTATTATAAAAAATTATGATTTCAAACCTTTTACACCAGAGACCAGTAGGTGGCATGGTGGTTAAGGTGCTGGACACTCCCATATGGTTGACCACGGTTCAAGTCCCAGACCTAATGGCTTGCTTTCTTCCTTTCTCTCTCTCCTTCTCTCTGTGTGTCTCTCTCTGGTCAAATTAAAATAAATGAATGAGTAACTAAAATTAAAAATAAATAATTGAAAAAACCCACTTTTACACCAAAATAAACTTCCATTTTTCTACAAACTTTTTGAAGTCCTTCCCATATTGCTTATATTAGTTTGATACAAAAGCAATTGTAGTTTTGGACTGGATTTTAAATTATACCTTGGCTCAAACACATCTTTAGTAATCAAAATAGGAACTATTACAACCAACACATTTTTGCCAATGAGAAATAAGTTTAATTATTCCTGTAGTGTAAAAATCTGTGTTTCAGGATTTGACAAACTCTTGGAAACCATCTTCTGCATCTTGCTGGTTGTGGAAGCATTTTCCCTATAAAAAGTTGTCAAGATGATCAAAGAAGTGGTGGTTGGTGAGAGGCCAAGTGACTATGGCAGATGAGGCAAAACTTCATAGTCCAGTCATTCAACTTCTGCAGTTTTGGTTGTCCAACATGCAGTTGTGTGCTATTGTGGAGAATTGGGCCCTTTCTGTTGACCAATGCTGGCTGCAGGTGTTACAGTTCTTGGTTTATCTCATTGATTTGCTGAGCATAATTCTTAGATATAATGGTTTTGCTGGGATTCAGAAAGCTACTATGGATCACACCTCACCAGACAGTGACTTTGACCTTTATTTGGTGCAAGTTTGTCTTTGGGAAGTACTTTGGAGCGTCTTCTCAGGCCAGTCACTGAGCTGATTGTCACCAGTTGTCATATAAAATTCATCGCATGTCACAGTCCAATTGAGAAATGGTTTGTGGTTGTTACCTAGAATAAGAGAAAATGACACTTCAAGATGATAGTTTTTTTGCTTTTTCAGTCAGCTCATGAGGCACCTAGTTTTCAAGCTTTTTCACCTTTCCAAATTGCTTCAAATGCTGAACTACCACAGAATGTTCAATGTTAAGTTCTCTGGCATCTTTTCATGTAGTTGTGAGAGAATCAGCTTCAATAATTGCTCTCAGTTGGCCTTTGTCAGCCTTCGATGGGCAGCCACTAATTCCCTCCACTTCAAGGCTCTCGGGTCCTTTGCAAAACTTCTCAAACTATCATGCACCGTATGGTTATTAGCAGTTCCTGGGTTAATGTGTTGTTGTGAGTTGTCTTTGCTGCTCTATTACCTGTTTTGAACTTGAATAAGAAAATCACTCGAGGACCAGCAGATGGCATAATGGATACATCACTGGACTCTAATGTAGTCGACTGCAGTTTGAGTCCCAGACCTGGTGGCTTAAAACTCATGCCAGGTGTGTGTGCCCAAAATCCCCAGAGGAGAATGAAAGAGAAGAAACTGGCATGTCCATCCCTCCAGGGGGGTGACTTCTCACTTTCCATCTGTGTGTCTTTCCAGCGAGTGCATGTGCCCTACAGCAAAAATCTCTCTTAAAAAAAAAGAAAATTACTCAAATTTGGTTTTTGTCTAACATCATTTCTGTAGTCTAAAATATATATAAACATCAAGTAATCATTAGCAAAAAAGAAAAAGAAGCTGGAAATATGTGTTAAAATGATGTATAACTTGGGGCTGGCAGATGGCGTGCTGGTTAAGGATGCTGGACTCCCACATGGCAGACTGTGGTTCCAGTTCTGGACTGGTGGCTTGCTTTCTCAGTCCCCCTCACTGATCAAACTGGAAAATAATAATAATAATAAATGTAAATAAAATAATTATAAAAAAGAGATGTATAACTCAATGTTTATTTAAGAATGTATCCAATATCAAATGGTAAACTTCTACTCTGCGAAACTACAACTCCTTTGCACCAACCTAATATATAAAATTGGCTTATTTTTATTATTTTCCTTTCATTTACATATATACTTTCTCATAATATAAAATCCATATTAACCAGTCATTTTAATTGTAGCATGAACTAACTTTTTAAAATGCTAAAGAATTAAAAATAGATATCCATGGCCTGGTGGTTAAGGCATCTGGATCCCACACGGCCAACTGAGCAGTTTGAATCTGGCCCTGGTGGCTTGAAAAACATGAGGCAGGGACCAGCAGTTAGTGTAATGGCTATGTCGCTGGACTCCCACTAGTCGACTGCGGTTCGCGTCCCGGAACCGGTGGCTTAAAACTCACACCAGGTGCGTGTGTGTGCGTGCCCAAGATCCTGAGAGGAGAATGGAGGAGAAGGGATTGCGGCATGACCATTCCGCCTGGGGGGTGATTTCTTGCTTTCTGTCTCTGTGTCTCTCTGTCTGTCTGGCGAGCACACATGCCCTATAGCAAAAACCTCTAAAAAAAAAAAAAACATATGGGGTACATGTATGTGCATGCCCTAAATCTCAGTAGGCTGGGGAAATGAAGGAGAAGGGATTACACCATGGCCATGTCTCGTATGTGTGTGTGTGTGTGTGTGTGTGTGTGTGTGTAGGGGGGGTGGTGGTGTCTTTTCTCTCCCTCTGTTCTTCTGTCTATCAAATTAAAACGATTGCTGGAATCAGGATTTGAACTGTGGTCAGTCACGTGGGTCCTGTTCCCTTGGATACCAGGCCAACTCTTTTTGTTTTTTTGAGAGGTTTTTGCTATAGGGCACGTGCACTAGCCAAAAGACAGAGAGAGACAGAGAGACAGAAAGAGAGAAATCACCCCCTGGGAGGGTGGCCACACCACAATCCCATCTTCTCCATTCTCCTCTCGGGATCTTGGGCACGCACGCACATGTGCATGAGTTTAAGCCAGCACCCTTAACCACCCTGCCACTGCCAGCCCCAAGTTATACATCACTTTAACACTTATTTCCAGCTTTTTTTTTTCTGCTAATGATTACTTGATTGTGTTGTTGTGGAGAATTGGAACCTTTCTGTTGACCGGTGCTGGCTGCAGGGTCCAGGACTCGAACTGTGGTCAACTACATG